ACCTGTTCAAAAAAAAAAAAAAAAAAAAAAAAGTAGTACAGTATATAGGGTGATATCTGGCCCATGGGCCTCTGGGGCCTCTGAAGGAAATCAAGAGTTACTGGTCAGGCCTCTGGGCCTCTGCGGGCTCTGATAAAAACAAGGCGGGAATTTGCCAAAGGAAGTAACCAAGTGAAGTGGTGAGTTCAGATGTGGTGTGAAGCAAGATCTCGAAGATGATATCGTGTGCAGCATATCTCCGTCTGAGAACGGGCATGGCACGAGGACGGTAACAGACAAAATGATGACTTCAGCAAGGAGCTACGGCCAAAGAATGATGCCGCCATAATTACACGTTTAGGAAAAGGTGTGTGCTCACAACTTCATTGAAATTTTATTTATTTATTTATTCATTTACTATTTTTCATGCACGACCCTGCACCCAGGCGTGCAAAAAAAAAAAAAACTTTTTTTTTTTTTTTTGTCTTTCTGCGCTGTCCCCAGTGGACACCAAATCCGGGCCCGTTTCATTTTTTGAGAGTTGGCTGTCAAGGGGGGAAGGGGGGTAGAAATTGTTTTTTAAGGGGCTAAAAGGGGTTAAAGGGGGGTCCTTTAGTGTGATTTTGTTATTTTCTTTCTTATCTCCTATTCGGTGAGGAATCCACATGTGACCCTCAGCCAAAAGTCGTTTCTATTGCAATTCTACACAACATTTTTTCTGATTTTTTTTTTTTTTTTTTTTTTTTTTTTTTGCACTGGGGCTGCCCGGAACCCTGCCCGGGGGTCGTGCCCGGCCGGGCACCCAGGCGTGTGTCCGGGCACAAGTTGGGTGCCCGGGCGCCCGGAAAAACAACCTAGCTCATTTATTTATTTATTTATATGCTTTCTTTCTCTTTCTTCCTTTTCTTTCTTTTTATTTTTGCTCACTTGAAAGGGAGAGCAAAGGGACCAAAGAGAGTATTTAATAGCGGACAGTCGGAATCCGCTACAGCTTGAGCAGATGGGGTAGAAGGGTTGTACGGGCGAAGTGTTGCTGCGCCCAATCCTTGATGTAGTTGATCTGTGATATGTAAACTCCAGCTACATTATTATGATTTGAGTTGATCTTTCTTCACCTGTTGTCTCTGAAGCTCGACTGCTGTTTTTGGTTCGTCTTGGTCGATCGGGGTAAAGGTCCTCCCTTTCCCCAATCAAAGCGGGGTAAGGGTCCCTCCTTTCCCCGATCCTCGACACCCCAGATTATAGGGGTCTGTCTTGCAGGATGCCGCTTGCCTTCCAACATGGCAGAATCTGATTTCCTCTTCCACCGTGGGAGATATGAACCCTTACTTCCTGCAGGTCTTCCAGATCTTGCCTTTTATGGAGACATTTTTCTTCTACAAGTCTCAGGCTTGGATCGCATAGTGCGTTTTGAAGAAAAAGTCCGAAAAGTACCCTGAAAGGCGTGTCCGCGCCAACCGGTTCGTAAGAATGAATATGGATCCCATAGTCCCGACGAGGAAGGCACTTCTCCACAAATTTTGCCGACATGCACTCCGTCCCAACGCCATCTACGGACATCCAACGGGCAACGGCCACAAACCGACAACAGAAAAAAGGGAAAACCCAATTTTGCACAGGCACCTACTTTCAGGGGGAGGGGGTAGGGGTCGGGAGCCTCTGGAAATCCGTTCATGAAACCAGCCACGACTCTCTCCCGTGCTGCCATGAAGGAGGCCCAGAGAAGAAACAGCCAAATTATTTTCCCTGTCCGCTCACCGCAGAAACGTGTGGGATTTCTTTTTCTTCACGAAAGTACCCCTACTAAAGATTGTGGGATCCAAGCCTCAGTCTTCCTCTGTCTGGTGGGCATAACTACTCCGCTCAACGTAGCTGAACCCGGGACAGTGACCCTGTAACCTGGGGGCTGTGCAGCTAGGGAAGTTGTCGAGGGAGGATGACACTTCCGATCTGCTAGAACAAGCTCGGTCGGTTGGTACTGGGGCAGTTGGTGTTGCTCTGTTACCCTAGCGCAGGGGGGTATGAGATCTTGCGCGTTCTGGCACAAGGACTGAATGCCTGGGCATTAATCTTTCCTCTGCGATGTGGGGAAAGAGCTGGATGGTGGGAGATATCTTTCATTTTTCTAGTAGTTCCTTGTTTCATTTTCATGGAATTTTCTGATGAACTTTTCTGAATGTACTCGTTATGGGACGCTGGGCCCGGTTCCCAGTTTGTACCAATTAGTGAGGATATGGTTGTATCTATGGGACGCTGGACCCAGTTTCCAGCAGGTGCTGCTCCCCACCAATAGATGGAGCTTCCTTTAAAAAAAAAAAAAAGAAAAAAAAAAAAAAAAGGTCTTCCTCTGTCTGTCCCTCATTTTTCGCCAGTACCCGGCCCCAACCTTGCAAATTTTCTTCATGGCCTAGTACTAAAACTTGGAAGCTCGGCGCCACCGGACCACTACGGCTGCCAGTCAAAAAAGACAAGAAGTGTGCCATCGGCAGTGCAGCAAAGCTTGGCGCGCAGCGCCACCAAGTCCGGGTGTGTCGGTGGCTTGACTCCTGCATTTAGGCTTGGACCCCACAGAAATGCGGATGGAAAAGACGTCTGCCCAGAAAATGCGGGGAAAGAATTTTGGGAAGTCGGGAAGTGCTTTTGTTGGGACCCGATAGTGGAGTGAGTTGTGCGGCAAAATGCAATTTCTTCTTTCTGTAATAGGAAAGGACTCTGCCCACCGGCCGAAAAAGGAAAACGGTGGAGTGTCTGAGAGGCCGGGGATGGACCGTAGGCGACACTGCTGTGCTCCAGGAACCGCACCAGGACTGTGCACGGACACTCGGTGGTCCGACTCCAGTCTGCGACCTTGGAAACCTTTGAGATGCCGCCTTCCCCCCCCCACTCTACAGTCGACACAAAATTACGGCGAGAATTGCTCCCGCGCGACTTGTCCAGCACGCAGACCGTGTGAAAACAGGAATATTTGTTCTTCCAGGCCACAAAATGCAGGTTGTGGGGTCCAGGAAAACTGTGCGCGGATGTCCTTATCCGCGACAGTTTTTCCACGGGCTGTGGAGTCCTGGGAACTGTTATGCGGCAAATGTTTTTCCATCCACATTTCTGTGGGGTCCAAGCCTTAGATCTTTACCTAGCGACCACCAATAGTATACCTCCAGGCTGTCTGCTACTATCCAAGTATCTGCAATGTTTGTCAGAGGATCCTGCAGAACATTAAACCAAGAAGCTGGCATTGCTTTCTTCAAAAGTTGAAAACTTTCTTTCACTGAATGAAACCTTGGGAGTTTCTGGCACATTACGTGTTCTAAAACCCAGTCCTCCGTTTCCTCATCCCAAATTTCTTTGCCCTTGGGTGTCCAGCTTTTACCAAAGTTATCGCTCCCGTCTGCTGCTGAAAAAGGAGTGTGATTTTCCTGCAGAAGGGGTTGTCGAACAGAGGCTGACATAGGATTTCAGATCTGAACACTGGGGCTATGAACTCTGTGGGCTTCAACCACCAGTACCTCCCCCACACACCGGCCTCTCACCACGACTTTTGGAGGCCGAGATGTGACAACGCTCACCGATTAAATTTATCAACGGCGCCTTGGCCCCAAACGTTGTGGGCGTTTACAAGCCGCATCTCCGAAAAATAGCTGGGAAAGGTACTGGTGGCTGCATCTCCGAAAAATAGCTCGGAAAGGTACTAGTGGCTTCAGCTTCAGTTTACTCCAAGCATATAGGACAGTTCAACCACAACCTGGATTTTGCGAGTTTCTGAGTGAAGAAAGTTCTTTATCTCTTTCTCGGAAACATCCTGGTGACCTTCCACTGTCCAGCGGTGCGGTCCCACTAGCAAAGAGGATTGGATTCAACACCTGAGTCTGGCCGTGTTTGTGAACAGGTGCGTAAAATCGGGATGGAACTGCTTTTCTGCATCTCTGCATTTGAGGATTACAATCCAATCATCTTTGCTAGTGGGACCTCGCCCGGGGTGGATCTCCTTGGCCAGGGGGTGCAAGACACACCTTTTGAGAAGGCTCAGGCACTAATGGGGTAAACTGTTTTCATTGCTGAAATCAGTTTTCTTTTGCCAAAATTTTGATTTTTTTGTGATTTTTTATTTTGGTTGTTGGAATTGAGTCTGGTGACCATTTCTCAATGTTCTGAAGTGTTTTTGTCCATTGGAATTGTCTGTTGTGACCATTTCCAAAATGCCAAAAATTCTGAAAATTCGCTGAAAGCAAAATTTCATTCAAGTGCACTTTTGCCTTACCGTTTCACCCTGTTTTTTTTTTTTTTTTTTTTTTTTTTTTTTTGGTGTGCCCTCTTTGGAATCTTTCTTTTTTACACATCTAGATGTGTATAAGAGACAGGTTCTGAA